GGCACTTGTTACTAGAAGCGATGCACTTGTTCCTAGTAGCTTCTTGTCACTAGTAGTAAGGCCAGGAGCCCCGTTCGTAGCGTCCGATCGCTCCGTTCGAGTCGCGATGCCCGAAATGCTCCGTTCGTAGCGAACCTTGCCAACGCCACGCCGCGCCGCGCCTGGTGGACGTTGGAGCAGCCCAAAGTGCTGCTGGAGCCATGAGTGATGTCAGAGGGCCTTGGGGCGGATGAGAACGCAAGGCCTGGAAACGCGTTGTTGGTACAACGATGTCTGGAAAATGAGGCTTTCTTGTATGGGAATGTATGGGAATTGTATGAGGAGTGGTCTTCCAAGCGCCTAAAAGAGTTCAAGTGAATTTAAATGACCCAAGAATAGACCCCAACAGGGAGCCTTTCGGAGTATTCACCACGTAAAAGTTCCCCACACAGATGACACGCTGCAGGTCTGTCAGTCAGAGCAACACCAACGCCGTCCTCAGCTCCTCACGTGGTGCTTTGTCCAGAGAAACCAGACTTCGAAGCACTGAAGCTGCTGCCTTCGGGTGGAAACGCAGTCGAGTTGGCAGTCACGGGAGAACCTCCGGTCCAGCGAAATGCACAAGACATGGCCTCTATTAGGACAGTGACATGGCAAGCCGATCTGTTTTGTTCTTTGCTCTGAGCATGTTCGGGGAAATGGTAACTTGCCCATCGGAAGGTCAATATGATCGAGCGAATTGTACACAGCTGATGCGGCAGTCCACCATCTTCATGATTCTTGTACGAGACTCGTTGGGGATTCGGCCTCATACAGCCACTCGTTTCCAAGAAAACAACCGAATCAGGTCTCATCAGGCGCACACATGGGGAGTCGCATCCAAAAGCCTCCGATCACTACAAACACTCCCCTTGAGGAAGGCAAGGCTCCATCAGCTACCATCCTTCACCATTAAGCTCATGGGACGAACAAATCCAAGCAATTCTGGTGGCGCCAAGATCACCGTTCGCTTCTCACAAATACACAGCCCAGGATTGATAGGCAGGTTTCTGAAACAGAGCTTCGTTTTCGGACACACAGGTGAAGGAGCTTAGAGGTTTAGAGCCATCCGTGTGGTGTGAGTCCTTTCCGTGTTTGATCCATTGGGACTCCCGGTCCATCACCAGGTCCGCACGAACGTCACATCTCGGAACCCACCCACTCGACCGGGTTCACCCGACCCGACCTGCGTAACAGGTCTTCGGAGTACATCCATTCGTCACACCTCAAACAGCTGAAATAGACGGCATCAAAGGCATCGTTTCGGTGAAAACAGCGAGATGTGGTGAAACATTGGAGGAAATAGGTTCTCGCCAGGTCGTCTGAAAACCAAACTCATAGACTCAGGTGTGCAAAAGCTAGTAGTAACAGGTGCATCGCTAGTAGTAACAGGTGCCTTACTACTAGTAACAAGAAGCTATTAGAAACAAGTGGAGTCGTGTCGAACCTTCAGACCAATCGCTCCTCACGTGACGGCAAACCAACGGTTTCGGTAGAAAGACGTCACTCACAGGCCAAGCCCTAAGAACATGTCACCCGGATACCCGGACATTGGACGTAGATCGCTATACCTTCGGCGTGCTCGGGCTGCCGCTGTAAGTGCCCAAGGCTCCACAGGTCACTGTGACATCTCCTTCCTGAGCAAACTCCGCTCGGGAGAAGACATCGGTCCCTTGTGCAAGTGACCACGGAGTCTGGAAGAACTTCGATAAACTGGATCTACGATCACGAGATATCACGAGTTCTGCACAACATATCATAACATATATCTATAGTCATATCATCATGTCATATCTATATTACATTCTCCCTACGAGTCAAAGACTATACAAAGAATGGTCTTTATGGGATCTGAAAGGGAATGTCCTTTACTTCACTCAGGGAAAGTATAGTCTTTGGACTTCCAGGGATTCTGTTTTTGACGCGACATGGAGCCTGGAGCCTTCGACATGGATCTTTTCTCCCAAGCCGGGCCCCCC